GCTTGAGAGCCCCTGAGCCCAGGGTGAGGGGTCCCCCCGTGTTGAGCTGTGCTGGCGGCTGTTTCTGTGCTCAAGGACACTTGGAATGGGCCACGGCACTTGGCCACCAGTGGTGCTTCTTTGCACTCCTTAGGCAGGTCCCGATGTCCTGGGTGGATGTTGTGAACAGCAAAGTGCCAGGGCAGGCTCTGTGCCAGCCCAGCTTCCTGTGGCAGAGATTTCACAAGAGAGGATTCTGGCCACAGACTGCTTGAAATATACATCCCTTATCTCCACCCTGCACTAGGCAGAGAATTCCCAGGGTAAGGAATTCCAAAGATCGATTCCAAGGGAAATAATTGAATATCTGCCCTGGGTCTGCCTCTTATTCTTGCCCAAGCCAATGGCAAAAGCTGTATCCATGGCATCTTGGTTTCTCTCACCAGCTTCCAAAGGTGTTTCTTTATTTCCCCATTCCTTCTTTCTACCTGCCCAGAGCTCTGTGGGTGCCAGGGCTTGTGGAGGTCCCATTGTATTCCTAAAGCAGCCATAACCCCCTGAAGGGTTTTTCCTGTAAAATGAGTTCCCCATCTGAGAGTCTGTTTTTTCCACAATCCTTTATCTTGGAATTATTTGTTTTAGGAATACATTAATAAACAATCCAGTGATTGTTGAGGAATGTCACAGTGTTAGCTGGCTTACACTGGGCAGTGAATTTGGCCACTGATAAGAGAAGCGGCCTGGCCTAACAGACAGGAGAGAGAACTCAGGTAGGACAGAATTGAAGATAGACGAGGATGTAACCCAATGAGTTCCATCCTAAGCTGCAGGGGCTATTGTTCAGAGTGCTGAGCAGCCTAAACTTGGAACCAATCACAGCCGCTAGCCTGGGAACATTAAGAAAGCTACGTAAGAAGTAGTCAGAAAAATAAAGGCTTTTTTACATGGATCAGCGAGTGCTGTGTTTTCTGTCTCAAGTACAGCAGCAGTCGACTCAACAGAAGAAGTCAGAATTGCTTTTGTCACCCTGTTAGCTGCCATGCTGTTACCAGAAGATATTTGAGCCTTCCTGCTCAGGGCATTTCAGTGCCAGGCTCTTCCAAGCACACCCAGCTCTGCCGGTTGAGCTGACCATGCAGGCGGTAACCTGTACTTGGTCTAATTCCCTTTCCTTCATCAGAGCTTGTCTTAGAGCTCTTTTCCCTTCTTCTGCCCTTGAAGAGCCATCCATAAGCACATTTTGTCCCTCAGGCCAGGGAATGTCTCCTAAATCACTCCCAGCCTGGCTCTGGAGCTCTGTCACTTGAATGCAGTCATGGGATTCTTCCCAGCCCCCTGTGCAGGCTGTTCAAACAGGAGCCTGGGTTAAATCCTTGCCCTGTCCTCAATTCTAAATCCTCCTGTGCCACTGAACAAGTTTCATTCTGTAATCACCGAGCACTGCTCATCCATGTAGAGGCTCCTTTGGTTATCACAGCTTTCACTTGGTGCCAGACTTCAACAACAGGAGATCTCCTGCCATCAGTTTTTGGGCCTCAGGTCCCACTAAAGCTGTGGCTGCACAATTCTACAGACAGTGAGGCCACTCTGGCCACTGGGCTAACCATTTTAGCACAAGAATTCCTTTGGCATGGCCCTGTTTAACATCCACATACAATTAATTTTTTTTCCTGAGTCTGGTAGAGCCACGACTGCGGCATCAATCATTTGTTTATTTCATTTTCTTAAGTTTTGTTCCATTTCTCATGTCCCTACCACAACATTGATGCTATCTAGTGTTAAAAAGTATACAGTGTTCTGGCTAGAACAGAGAATCCTCAATCCAGATCCTGCAATTTCCTGTTAATCCTCAGACTTCTTACAAATCCTTTTTAGTCCTGGATGACTTCTGAGCTTCCCTGGTCTCTCTCTGGGTCAATACACCAGAAACCTGCAGTCAAAATATGTCCCAAATATTTAACCTTTTTCTCCAGCATTTGTACTTTTTTTTCCCAAATACTCAAAGATGCTTTTTAGCCTGAACATTAAGTTATTTCACAGAGACTTCTTCTGCCCCTTCTTGTCCTCCTGATTGCAGCAAGTCATCCACATCCTGCATTAACCCAATCCCTGGGGGTGGGGTAAATTCTTGTGATATTTTCTGCAAGGCTTGCCCGAATAAGGCTGGTGCTTCCGTGCATCCCTGCAGAAGGACCGTCCATGTCTTTTCCATTTTCCCTTCTACCTCTTGTTCCCACTCAAAGGCAAAATACATTTTACCATCCTGTGTAAGTGGCCATCCCCCAGAAAGCATCTTTGCCATCAACGGTGGCAGTGTGAGGAGGGCACCTGGTTGAAGATGGTGTAAGGATCTGAGAGCCCCTGGGTGCTTGGGCTGCCTTAATATGCACCCCACTTTTGTATAGCTAGTGATATTC